TCCAAAACGAACTGGCACGATGCCGTGAATGTGTACGCGTGAACGCCGCGCGAAGGGTGCGTGAACCTTTTGTCGCGGGACAAAACACCGACTCTGATCGGGGAACAGGCGTGAACGCGCGTGAATCCTGTGAAAACCATCCAGATTCACGTTCACGCCTGTTTACGGAGCTTCACGGTGACAATGTGGAGCCGCGGTATCGTTTTGTGAGATAGAGTATTTAATATAATTCAATATAAAGCTACGTGAACGTTAATAAGACTCGATCATTCGTTTGACAAATATAACACTGGATATTATTGTTTGCTTCGAAATGAATCTATTAAAGAGTCAATGAAAATTATATTATTCCGCTTTCATGAACCGCAAATATTATTTGTGGATAGAGTGACGATGCAGCAATATTATGGTTGTAGCATGAATGAGTCGGCTCGACGAAGGAAACACCACTCTCTCACAGAACACCAGCGTATTAGCAACTTAATGTTGCTGTGTTGTGTACGGTGAGTGTAGAGAACCATAGACCCCTTTTACTGGAAACGATCTTAGTACTTAGGTTTGACAACGTTTCTGCATTTTTATTCATAGTTGAGGATAAAATAAATATGTAAAATGTTTATGAGTCACATCATCCACTTACCTTCAGGTGAACTGTGTGTTATTTGTCACCGATATATAAAATGAAAAATGAAAAAACTTAAATATACTTTCAATAACTACAAAATCTTGTAAAAATATAGAGTTAAAAAGAGGTAATTGTTATTGAATAAAACTATTATTTACGGATTTTATCGCGTTTAATTACTTTAATTTATTTGACGTTTCGGGTACTTTACAGCACCCATGGTCAGGGGGGGGGGACTGAGATGTTTAACGTCCCAATGTCATAGTTAGTTCGGCTACCTTCAGTTTTTGAATATTAATTTTTGGTCCGTCCGTTTCTTCAAAAACTGAAGGTAGCCGGATTAATTTTATATTCTACTTTTATTCAATGCAAACATCTTATTAATAATGTTATAATCATACCTATTAATAAAGCATAAGGTAAATAATCGCTTCGGTTTTTCGCGTTTACGATATTTATATCTAACAGAAGTTGCATTGTGTTATAAGGTAACCAACAAAGTGCAAAAAGCGCTGCTAGAAGAAGGGGGTACTCCTTCTTCTAGCAGCGCTTCTTTGGCTACTTTTTTCCTCAGCTTTAAGCTCTGAAACAAAAGAGAAAGTTTTTTTTGCGAAAGCCTGATAAAGCAAATAAAGCATTGAGTTAAGCTTATTTTATATAAAACTGATGTGACAGCAAATTAACAGTATATCTGGCGTTAATAGTAACAGGTAGAGAAGACTGCGACCCATAGCCATGTAGCCAAAACGTATACTACGAATAAGACTACAGCCTTTCATTTGGCATGATCCTGACAAACTCTTCTCGCCTCCATTACATCCATATACCTACGCTACATACTTGTCGGTTAAAGGTACTGTTAATGTAGCCCATCTTCAATATATCGGCAATTGGGTCGATAAACTTTCGTCTAGGGTGTTACAAATTTGCTTTGTCACTCTTTCCTCGTTCATTCTCTCTACATGACCAAACCACCACTTATATTATGATAAGTCGGTAACTTTAAACAAATACGTTTTCTCCAATGAGAAGTTAGATGGAATGCTTCTTACTCTGTTATGCTAGCTCTGTAAACCTTTCAGTACTGAACGCAGCAGCACAGGTGCTTGCCATCAAAAGTGGCTAAGAGGATTGTACGTACCAAGAGGGAGTCCTAGATAGAAAAAGAGTGCTACGACTAAGTGGTGTATTTCCCGTCGATGAAAAAACCTAAAAATTATCTACCACAGAGAAAATTATCAGTCAACGCTTCATCTTACATTATGGAGCTCGTTGCATATGCAGAACTCGGACACTTCGATAGCGGGTTATTGCTTAGTTTTTTAATCGGCCTAACTTCCCTCTATGGAGAAATGGAGAACACTCAACAAGGTTTTCAACTCGGGTAAGTACAACTTTTCTTTTTATATTGGAGATTTAATCGAACAAATACTATGATTGTTGAAAATCAGCGGTGAAGAGTTTTAGGGATATAACGCCACTCTGACTTACTTATATCTCTATACTACTTATACCTCTATACTAATTGCATGGGTTTCGTACTCTGGTCTATGTCCTGTTGCCATCAAAGCCGTAATGTACAAACACTCCAACTTAATTCTAAGAAATCTCGATGTACCGACGTTCAATCTGGCACTGCTTAAAGGATCCCTACAGCGGCACCGCCTAACTTTCGACGGAATAAATGATTTATCATAATCCAGATAATATCATAATAAACAAGATAAAGTAGCAGATTGTGCTATTGTGCAAATTGATATATTACAATTACAACATTTCCTTTGTCGCGTCTAAAATATGTCAAGAAATTCTTTAAATTAACAAACAAAATAATAGAAAAAGTAATTTCTGCCATTTTTTATGATAAATATTATATAGTCTTTGTCACACCTACAATTATTAAGACGAATCTGACGACACCTAATATTATGTTAAAATCCAACAAGCCGTATACTCGTAGGCTACAGAGAGTGCCAAACAAATAGCCGTGCCCTTGAAAAACAATACTTTATTTTGTGGGCAGTCGAGTAAAATTACATATAAATGACTCCCTAGTTGGTTTAGTGGTTGTAGTAGGGCAACTGCTGATCATGAGGTCCCGGGTTAGAACCGCGGGTCGGGTCAAAAATATCAGTTATTGAGTTTTTCTATCGGTTAACTCTCAGTAGCTGCCCGGAGTCAGGAAGTTGGCGGCGTCTCACCCCCGTGCCTCGGAAAGCACGTAAAGCCGTAGGTCATGCGCCTGATCTCTCTCCGATTGTGTCTGCTTACCGACCCATCAGACCATTAGGGTAAGGAAATAGAGAGTGCACGTGTGTTTGTGCATAGACTTGGGCACTATAATCCTGTCCTGCGCCGATTAATAGTCTCCGTTTAGGCTGGCTGTCGAAACCGAAATTAAGTCTGGAAGAAATTAATATTAATATAAAATGAAAACGTATCTGCTAAGCATTTAATATATATATAGTTTTATTACCTGCTGCATGCTCACGTTTCCTTCATCAATGTCAAAGGGTGGCCCGACAGAGCATAGCGTTCGGCCCATACAGGTATATGACAGAATCGTGATTGAGCCTGCGAAATGAAAGCAATTATTCACTCAGGTAAGTGACATTACTTTAATATATTAGGATTTTAACTTTAATTTTGAATTAAGAATACCACATAATAGTTATTAAATGTTTATTATAAGTTACAGAATAGAATACGATTCCATTTGAATTCAATTCGTTGCTGAATATAGGCCTCCCCCATAGATTGCCTCCTATTGGAGATATTGCCATAGTTGCCACGCTTGTCAAGTGCATTGGCAATCGCAGTTTTTTAATGGACAGGCTTGGATGTTCAGCAGTTGAATTTTGATAAGCTCTGCAGGATGAATAAGGTAACACATATTAGTGAAAAATACAGAAGAAAGAGTTTGATTTTAAGAGTTTTAGTTTAACACATTGACAAATATTTAGTTTTCATTTAATTGCTACGGGCTTATCTATTCATTTCTGCAAAATTAATTCAAAGATAAATATGAATTGGGTAAACGTTTTTAACACACCTGGTATAACATACACTAGAGTAAAACTAAATATTTCAAACTTCTTTCTCTATCTACAAACAAACAAGAAGCATATCTAAAATGAACCTTTTATGTAGGAGACCCCGCGTCGCTCAGCACGTGGATTGTAATAAAAATACCTTTTTACGTGATTTTAGATTATGACTAAGGGAAAATTTTGAAACTTTGATTGATTGGTAGTAATTTCATACTACGCAAGTATATGCAATCCAATACTTTTGTTTTGTTAAAACATTACTACGATTTTCTTCTGTATTGTATGTGCAGCTTACATACATAAATTGTACAAGGACAAACATCCAGACCCGGGTAGTTTATTTGTAGGCCATAAAAATACTTGTTCAGAGCCATAACTCATTGCGAAGCTACTGCGCCACGGAGCCCTTACTGCTTCAGGTCTCCAGGGTTTCAAGGTTTAGGTTTTCTATTATTATAAAAATCGAATGAAGAAGTTCATTCGATTTTTATAATAATGTAAGGTAGGCTATTGTAATTACTGTGTTTAATTTTTTTTTGCTTAAATATTCCATTAAGATTTTAGCAACAGTTTGAGGCAACAGTAGCCTAATGGCAGGACGCGGACCGTGAACTCAAGAAGGTCGTGGGTTAGAATCCGCCATTCGACTACTGGCGTGAACCAGTCGTAACACGAGTTAGCTTGCCACGATTCGTTAAGGGGAATATTAATAATGTTTATAGCATTGTTAATATTATTAAAAAAAAACAATCAAATAAAATCACTCAAATAAGCAACTCTAGTCTAGTATATTGGAATATAAAAGGGACACACCATTGGATTTACCTACTATTTCTATAAAAAAATTAATTATTAATAAGAATATACACACAATTTATATTCTTGGATTGTTGGCATTTCGTGAAACTCCAGCTTCATTTTTGTGATTTGGATAAACACTTATACTAGTTTGGAGTTAGTGTCTCCTTCATAACAGTTTCACTTGTGAAATCAATTGTGGAACAACGTAAAAACTTGGTTCTTTCAATTTTTTACGTTACTTCCCGTTGTATTCTGTTTGCTTAACTTCGGCTACTACGAGATGATTATACTGTTCTATCGGAAGTCATGAGATCTTACTAAGGCTTCCCATAAACTCTTCCTATTAGATTCCCGAGGTGATAATATTGGTTTATGGATTCTCCTACGCAAGCACCATATAACAGAGGTGTACATTATTTACGTAAAACGCCTCAACAATGAACTAAATAATAAATTCTAAATCTAAATTAATTTCTAAAGTGTTCTCTACAGGTAACGTTTTATTAAAAATAAATTACATACAGATATATTTTCAAAGCCTCTGAAGTAATAGGGACGGACTCTCTCGTCATTGTGGCAACCATCAACAGTGGTATGAATATCAGCAGAGCTGCAAACCACAGTAAGGTTAATAGCAGCAGCGCTTACCGTTTTCCTGGTGGCTGCGACCACCAGGAAAAGCGGCTGGCTATAGCACTAGGCCGATGGCTGTCTATAGCACCAGATGCTATAGACAGCCATCGGTCAACTGACATGGCTGTTAACGTGAAAACACCAGCTGCTACTGTCATACCTAAAAATAAATCTCATTATTGACTTTATTGACATTATTAATTGACATTATTCTCCCTATCTTAACTCATATTTTCAATTACTCCATATCCTCTGAATCCTTTCCACGAATTTGGAAGGAAGCAAATATCATTCCTCTTCCTAAAAAGAAGAACCCCTGTTCTCCCTCAGATTATCGACCTATATCTATCCTTCCATTCCTTTCAAAAGTCCTTGAACGTTTAGTTTTTGCACAACTTAACCTCTTCCTAAATAAAAACTCCCTTCTTGACTCCTTTCAATCGGGGTTCAGACTTGGTCATAGTACGGTTACAGCGTTACTTAAAATCACAGATGATATTCGCTGGGGTATGGACCAAAAGCAGCTCACATTACTTACGCTACTGGATTTCAGTAATGCTTTTAACACCGTCGATTTTGATGTATTGCTGAGTCTGCTACGCTCTATTAACATATCTCCAGCGGCAATTGAATGGTTTCAAAGCTATTTGCGTGGCCGCCGGCAGCGGGTTATGGTAGGGGGTGCCACATCTTCGTGGTGTGAACTAACTGCTGGTGTACCACAAGGTGGCGTGTTGTCTCCTCTCCTTTTTTCGGTGTTTATTAATTCTGTTACTTCACGAATTTCTTCTCTCTACCATTTGTATGCAGATGATCTTCAAGTATACTCCCATACATCACTCCAGAACCTTCCCAATGCCATCAATGACACTAATATGAATCTTGCTGCAATACATGATTGGAGCAGGTCGTTCGGGCTCAATTTAAATCCCAATAAGACCCAAGCCATTATTGTTGGAAATAGTACTGTAATTTCCAGAATTTGTTGGGATAACCTACCACCTATTGTTATTGATGGTGTTGTGATACCTTTTAGCAAATCTGTAAAAGACCTAGGATTACACATTGATCAAAATCTTTCTTGGTCCCTACATATTAAAGAGTCCAGTAGAAAGATGTTCGCGGCATCATCTTCCTTACGACGTTTGCGTAACTCATTACCGATTCCTACTAGAATTTTACTGGCACAGTCCTTGTTACTCCCTATCCTTGATTATGCTGATGTATGCTATTCTAATCTTACTGAGGATCAATTAAATAAACTTGAGCGTCTTCAGAATTTCGCTATTAGGTTCATATTTGGCCTCCGCAAATATGATCATGTTTCTGAGTTTCGTACTAAGCTCAAGTGGCTTCCTATCAGACTTCGTCGGAATACTCACATTCTATCTCAACTGTACTGTGTACTATTTGATCCTAAAACACCGAAGTATTTAAAGGAAAAATTTGAGTTTGCGGGTGCAGATAAAGATCATTCCAGATTATCCGATAAGCTTATTTTGCGAATGCCTGCTCACAATTCAAAATTTTTTAATTCTTCCTTTTGTGTCAAAGCAATTAAATTATGGAACTCGCTTCCTTTAACAATTAAGAAAGCCCAAAACATTGAGTCTTTCAAAAAACTGGTTAAAAATTATTATTTAAATATGTGTTCTACTTAATATATTTCATTATCATATCTACTATACTTGATAAGGTTTGTGTATATATGGTATGTATATAATGTGTAGCTATGTGTTACAAAAATATTTATAAATATGTATATGTATAAATATGTATGTGTATGGATATGTATATATGTGTATGATTATGTATATATATATATATATATATATATATATATATATATATATATATATATATATATATATATATTATGTGTTATGCATGATTTTTAACTACTATTTATGCACACTTCTATATTTTTGTATGTAAAAGATCTCCTTCACCAAGGTTTGCCTGGAAGAGATCGCTGTTTAGCGATAAGGCCACCTAATTGTACATAAATTTATCAATTTAAGTTTGTTGTTCTTTTTATTATTGTATGTGCAATAAAGAGTATTGTATTGTATTGTATTGTATTGTAAATATATATATATATATATATATATATATATATATATATATATATATATATATATATATATATATATATATATATATATATAATAGGACCGTGTATTCCTGGGGGGGGGTCAGTTTCAGCAATGGATTAATGATAGGCTAAATGATGATGATGGTAAAATTTAAAAATTTATAAACCTACTTTAATAACGTGACCTCTTCCGTCATAATTTATCGCTAAATAAGTGGATCGTTTTTATGTAATGACTTGTTTCTTAATTATGATGATATTTTTTATGCTGCGTATTTTATGACAGTGTACTTACTGAAGCTTGAAGGTTGTCATAAAAGGTGACTGAGAGAAATGAAACAAGAAATATACAGCAGCGTCTCATTGATATCGAAATAATAAACAATTGTGGTTGCAAACCCTGACTAGCGTGACAAGTATAGAAAATAACTCCTTTGTTCACGCACTGTATGGGGGAGAAATATATTCAGCACTATGATGATCTAATTTCTGCCTAGCCGTCAGCGCAGGACAGGACTATAGTGCCTGAGTGTATGCACAAGCACAGGAGCACTCTCTATTACCACTAGACACTAGACCTCTCATATAGCCCGATGGAATTGTAATCTAGCACGACTGGAGAGAGAAGGCTCAGCACCAAGGGTTTTACGTGGCTGCAGAAGCACGGGGGTGAAATACCGCTAACTTTCCCATCTCCTAGTCCAAAGAGCAGCGTCTTTGGTTTTGCATACTCACTCGAAGATTACAGGTGTGACGTTATAAATATGAAATACAATTCATCAAAAGTGCGAGACGTCCGATACTGTGGTCTTCAGTCCGCATGCCAAGGTAAGTGATAATGGCGATGCGTCCTCCTCAAAGGGGTCCAAGTTTTTTTTATAGAATAAGGGTGACAAACAAGCACACAGTCTACCTGATGGTGAGTAGTTGTTGTGGCAACCACTTACAAAGCCACTAAGCATGGACCACATCCCGTAGACTTCTACATTTATCCTCGATTGAAAATCAAAACGCAGATCCGTTGTCACCTCTGAGGACTAGGATGGAATGAATGCCTCTTTCTGAGTAAAAAAGCATCTCCGGAGCTCTAAGCTCATCATACGAAACACAACAGTGTTAAGTTGCTATTTAACGTTGGTATTCTGTGAAAGCATGGTCCTTCCCCGGTGAAGCCGACCCATTCGTGCTACAACCACAATACCAGTATAGCTGCAGCGTGGCTCTACCACGTATGAAAACGTTCAACAGTAGACTTTTACGGGCTGACAATGAGGAAGAAGATTTACACAGGATATAAAATCTAATCTATATAGCAGTATAGTTTTCTATCGGTGGCACCACACTATATACCATCCGGTATACATACGAAATGGTGATACCATATGATCACAAGATCTTATAGACCTTATAAAATATTCGCCACGTGTGTCGAAAAAACGTGTAGTCGAAAGCGTAGATAATATATACATTTATGAAATAGGAGTTGAAAGTGAAATACAGTTTGTATAATATATTTACTTAAAATTCAATGAATTACGGTCGAATTTTGACCACTAGGCTACCATTAGTGTAGCATATTTACATTATTTTTATTTTGAATCATGTAAATATACAGTAGTATATTTACATGATTCAAAATAAAAAGAAATAATTGCCTTGTGATGTACAGACGAATGCTACGTGCGTCGACACTTCGTCGGCATCTTCTCATAAGAGTGCTTCGTTAGTATCGACTATTATCAGAGATGAAAGAAATGAGTGAGCGTCAATTGCCTTGTGATGTACAGACGGACGCTACGTGCGTCGACACTTCGTCGGCATCTCCTCATAAGAGTGCTTCGTTAGTATCGACTATTATCAGAGATGAAAGAAATCAGTGAGCGTCAATTGCCTTGTGATGTACAGACGGATGCTATGTGCGTCGACATTTCGTCGGTATCTCCTCATAAGAGTACTTCGTTAGTATCGACTATTATCAGAGATGAAAGAAATGAGTGAGCGTCAATTGCCTTGTGATGTACAGACGGATGCTACGTGCGTCGACACTTCGTCGGCATCTTCTCATAAGAGTGCTTCGTTAGTATCGACTATTATCAGAGATGAAAGAAATGAGTGAGCGTCAAATAAAAATATCTCAAATACAACTATGTATGTGCGCAATCTATCAAAACGGTGATCCACGCTAAGTGATGTTTTGAAAGGTGCTATATCTGCTACTGATCATCGCCACTTATGTCACAAATGCTGGTTATAAATATAATTATTCAGTTAGACAACACCGTCAGGGTTCTCGGCACTATTCCACAAGGAGTAAGGCATAAAGTTTATTGTAGTTTATAGCTTTTTCTAGTTGTAAATATTGCATACATTTTATAAACCCATACAACTAAATATTTAGATATAAATCTAAAATTAATGCAGACATACACAATATATAAGAATTTTTTTATAGGATAGGGTGACAAACGAGCACACAGTCTACCTGATGGTAAGTGGTTGCTGTGGTCCATAGACATCTACATTTATCCTCGATCACGAATCAAATTGCAGATGCGCTGTCACCCGTGAGGACTGAGATGGATTGCCTCGTTTCCAGTAAAAAGGGTCTCCGGTTCTCTACACTCACCATACGAAACACAGCGGCATTAAACTACTATTTTACGCTGGCATTCTGTGAGAGCGTGGCCGTACCCCGGTCGAGCTGACCCATTCGTGCTACATCCACAGTATAGCTGCAGCATGGCTCTACAACGTTTTCTTGTAGTAAATAATGCACACGTTGTAAAAAAGTAAATATATAGATAAAAATTGTGCATATAATTGTGTACACACGTACGAAATAAAACTTTTTTACGAAATATCACCCTTTTTTATTTTATAGTATACGCATAAAGCCAGACCCGGCGGTGAAAAAATACATACAATACACAAAAATCAAAAACATGATGTTTTTGATTTTTCCGTGCTGAATTTATCCACTAAGTCAACAAAGAAGTTTTACTTTATAAGTCCAAAACTTATGTTGATGTCCATAGGTTTCAGCAAAATTGTATGTATGTGATTAATCGAGAAGGAGGATGACAGCTATAAACATTGAAATACAATAAAATGCAAATCATGTCACCTAATAAAGTCCTATTTCGATCCATCCAAATCAAAGTTTACAAAACGTTGATTTGGATGGATCGAAAGATATTATTGTTTCATTTTTATGTAAAATATTTCAATGAAAAATTTTGAAAATTTTCAAATTATATAAGTTCATTCCACGCAATTAATTATAATGTTAGGTGGTAGGACTTAAGTTTTGCAGTAACGGCAATTAACGTTAAGCAACGTTTATATATTTTTTTTAAATCTTGAAACCCTTTTGTTATATATATATATTTTTTTTTTTTTTTTTTTTTATCCTCCCTATAGCTTTTGCAATTTTAAAAAAATCTTATTTGTTTTTGGACAACAAATCTAACTCTATCGGTGATGTTTCGCCAAATTTTTTTTTATAAAACGCGGGCGACAAACGAACACATAGTCAACCTGATGGTAAGAGGATGCTTAGACCCATAGTCATCTTTATCTATTCTCGATTAGGAACCAAAACACAGATGCGTTGCCAACCCTGAGAACTAAGATAGAATGTCTCGTTTCCAGTAAAAAGGGTCTCCGATTCTCTACACTCATCATACGAAACACAATAGCATTGAGTTCCTATTTTACGCTTGTATTCTGTAACAGCGTGGTCCTTCCCTGGTCGAGGCGACCCATTAGTGCTATAACCATAATATAGCTGCAGCTTTGCTCTACCACGTATAAAGACAATCGCCTCAATCAGGTCACCCCTCCAAGTACTGACCGCACTTGACGTTAAAAAATTAATTTTGTCATTTATGTCACTATCATTCATAATAATAGCCTTAAAACATCATGTTACATTTACTTAGGATCTATTTCTTAGCTAATTAACTTTATCATATCTTTTAATTTAATATTGGAATTCCCGAAATTAGCGCTTGATTCAATTAATTAAAGATATTTTCATCTTACATAAAATACTCGTAGCAGAAATAATTCGGTGACGTTTGCCAAAGGCGTCTATCGTCACTGTTAATATTAATTAATTAATTAAATGTGGTTCTAAACTTACCCAGAAGTTGAGTACAGAAATGACCTTGCTAATATTAAAATCATGGCCAAAAATGGTAAAGACTATATAAGATCATGGTTTTGATTAGACTGAGGGAAAAATACATAAAAACTAAGCTGAAAATGTCATGTAAGCTTCAGTGGATTTATTATATTAAATAAATCCCTGATTATTTATCGTAGAAAGAATCTAAGTGTTTTGTAATGTTGGGAGATCCGAGGAATAAATAATAATACGTCTTGTGGTCTTGACTGTAGATTTATTAGTCCGTGAATGTCTATTAGGCTATCGTATATATGACTACATGAGTATACACTACACATACACTACACGTCCATCGGCAAAAAGAAAAAAAAGTAGAATTACTGATTGCGCGGAAAACCATTCGTATTTTATTTTATTCGAAGGTGGGCTTGTCAAGATTTGTCCTTCCTTCGACCTTTACTTCACCTATTGTCCCTCCGTACACACCGGGGTGGTGGGGTGAGAGAGGAAAGAAGATGATTCTAGAATATCGCGTGATTTGCAACCAATAAGCAGCACGCCAATCCGAGACGAATTGATAAGAGGGCCGAAGTAATATAAGCTAGCACACGGCACTCGCGCGCTCTCTTCCCTTCACGCACCAGTTAGAACCACACTGCCTAGGACAGTCGAGTCCTAGAGGGCTTTGCCCACGCGCACCGCTAGTTCAACAGCATTAGCCAGGAGCAGTCGAGTTCCAGGAGTAACCGCCTCATCTCGTATGAGAAATAGTCGCGCACCGCTCTCTTCCATCGCACCATCGACCAGGACCGCATCTCTGGGGCCCCAGGAGATCCGCCAGAAGTCGCAAAGCAGCAGCAAAGCGTCCAAGCCGCATCAAAGTAACACCCTGACAGTGACCTGGAGTCAATACGCGCATTTTTCAATGAGAAGGAGAAAGAGCTATCGGTGGCGGTGGCAAAGGTGGAAGAGCTGACGCGGCAATTGGAAGAACTGCGAAGAGGAAGGGTGCAACCTGCACCACCATCTGCCCAGGAGCTCGATAAACTACTTCGGGAGCTTATGTATCGCAATAAGCTGAACGAGCAACAGAACATAAGGCTGTTAGCCCAGCGGGCGGCACTGGGTGCCCGGCAGGAAGAGATGCGTAGCATCGACCGACGCGTCTCCGAGCTGCAGGCACGCCTCTTGAGGAAACGGGCCGCACCAGTAGTTCAATAGGCAGTTGGCTGCCGCACACCGACAACCCCAACAGCAGCAAAGAACGAACAACCCAACACCAATACAACAATTACTCAATTATCCAGCTGCAGCCGCGATAAATAGTCAACCAAAGAATCAACAGGCGCGGGGTAATGTTGCTGCCGTCGAACCTTATAATCATGTTCCGCATGCGCAGAGCCCAAGCCATAACACAAATTTCCAGGCAAGAACTTTATATATATATATATATATATATATTATATTTGAAGCAGAACGTAATACAAAACAACGTGCCAAGCAGCTCACACAGAGCGACAAAATACAAAGTCATCTCACGCAGCAAGAGGCTCACTACTTACACCAAAAACAATTGATGAATCCACTTTTTAACGGCAACTATCCTCATGTAACGGTCGGACAGGATAATCAATATCCGCAACAAGGGCAACTTCAAAATAAACATGAAGTAAACAATTTCATTCAACAAAACATCACCAGTGCATACGATCAATAAAACCATTTTCGACCACCTTAACAAATACCCTGAATATCCAAAACAACTGCAATACAGTCCTAACAGTACCAGTAGTTCAAATAGTAACCAAACAGGTAAAGAAATAAAAATAAATGAACAAGAATTCCCACCAGAATTTGCTGCAAGTAAATCTGATCCAAAATATCAAACTTTGCCGTATAACACCAAATTTCCACTAAGCGGAAACGGTAAAATAAAACAACCAGAAAGAAACGGTAAAGCAATCGATGTACAAGATGCCAAAAATCAAAATCAACAGAATTCAGCCAATATAAATCATATGACGGTACATTCGACACAATTGTCTGTTGTTAACAAAAGTCTGCCCACGCCTTTAAGTCAAACTGAAGCGACATATCAACAAGAACATACATATCCATTGCAAAAATCTGATTCTTCTAGTAGGTGTAACCAGGAAGAGCGAGTGCATTTCTAGGGAACCACGTGTCAAATCCGCTATCTAGTTTAGACATCAGCCGCGTATACAGTCCACATAGTGAAACATCTCGCATACTAGGGAGATTCTGATCCTTCGGCCGGATTTGGACTGGTGCTTGTAGCCTCACCGTCCATTCAATCATCGAATTGTTGGATTGATTCCTTAGACAATGCACTCTAATTGCACTTAATATTGAATGGATTCAAATAGTGTTTGTTTAGTTTTAATTTAAACTTTGGTTAGTTATTCCCAAATAGAATTTATTCATTTAAATAGTGTTTGTTTAGTTTAAATTTAAACTTTGGTTTGTTATTCGCAAATAGAATTTATTCATTTAAATAGTGTTTGTTTAGTTTAAATTTAAACTTTAGTTGGTTATTCGCAAATAGAATTATTCATTCTAAATAGCTTGGTTCCGCACGGTCATTCGGTGTACCCGACATTTCGTAAAAGAAAAAAAAAACAGTGTGAGTTTAGCGAGCGACACGCGTCACCTCGGGTCGTTGTAAAGGTGTTCAATTTAACGACGTAATACGGCACGATAAGACAATAGTGTTGGGAGATATAGTTGTGTTACATTGCGTCCATCCTCCAGCGTTGTGCGATTAATTGTGATTAATCTAATATTAATTCTTGTAATTTAAATTGTGCGAGACCAAATCAAAGTGATGCAGCGCTCCTCGAACGTTAGACGGGAGGTTAAGAAAGGTGTCGACCGTAGACAGACCCCATCATCTAAAACCGCAGGGTCGTTAACGTACGTAAACGCTGCACCGGTACCGCCGCAGAATGCCTGTATTATATGTAAAGATAAACAACACGGCAATTTATACAATTGTGCGACCTTTCGTAAACATTCACCCAGTGAACGTTATAAGATAGTAAGGGCAAACAACTTATGTTTGATTTGTCTAAGCGATAGGCATTTAGTTGCTAAATGCAATTCTAGTTCCGTGTGTAACAAGTGCGCCAGAAAACATCACACGTTGTTACATTTCGAAAATAGCAACATATCTGCGTCAAGTAAATCGGACAAGGAAATCACACCTACTAAAGTCGACGATTCTAGCGGTCGACCTGGTGATGTCGCTCTGTGCTCATTGTCAAATATGGGAACACAGCCTCCTTCAACCGTGTTACTAGGTACAGCCCGTATTGTAGTTAGGGATTCGCGTGGAAACGAACAAAGCGTCCGTACATTGCTGGACAGCGGATCCCAAAATATCTTTATAACGCGACAATGTTGTCAGCGCTTAGGCTTGTTAATAAATAGGTCACTTTCATGTCCCGTAGTCAAAGGCATCGGAGGTATTAATAAAGTTACCCAGGGATATATACATTTAAAATTTTATTCTCGGATAGATCGTAATGTTAACTTTGATATAAATGCACTAGTAATAGATAAAGTCACTGAACGTCTGCCACCCGTTTCGGTTGACACCTCGGCAATGATTGAATTTAAAAATTTGACTCTAGCAGACGATACTTACGCCGTTCCCGGAAACATAGACATGCTCATTGGAGCATCGCTTTTCCCTCATCTTTTGTTAAACAATAAGGTCAGGGGCAATTCCTCGCATACCGCGCCTTACGAATTGGAAACCGTCTTGGGCTATGTCATCGTTAGCTCCGCCCCCATCATGGATAGTATCTCGGCAACCTCTTATTGTTATATGGCTGTCAAACCGCTCGAGTCGTTAGTCCGCAAATTTTAGGAGATGGAGGAGGTGAACGTTCCACCTATAGTTATCCCAGATGATAAATTGTGCGAGGAAATTTACGTCCGCACGACCGTTCGTGATCGCGACAGTCGATATAGTGTAGCGCTACCCTTTAAAGGATATGTTTTATCTCTCGGCGATTTGCGTCAAATGGAGGGAAAACGTTTCTACAGCTTGGAGCGTAGGATGCTCGCTTCACCCCAGTTAAAGGAAGCTTATGACGGCGTCATTAACGAATATATAAGGGAAGGTTACATATCACTCGTGGCCTCGAAATTAGATAATTACGAAGACACACCGTCGTATTTCATACCACACCACGGGGTCATTAGGGAGGACAAACTTACATCTAATTTACGTGTAGTGCTCGACGCTAATGCTAAAACTAGCACTCGCCTGTCTCTTAACGATATCCTCTATAGTGGGCAAAATTTACAGGGCAGTTTATTTAATATAATAGCCAATTTTCGTTTGTTAAGTATAGCACTATCCGCCGATATTCGCCAAATGTTTCTTTGCATAGGGATCCGTGAATGCGACCGTCGATTCCAACGCATTTTATATCGTTTCAACCCAAAAGAACCTCTGATGGTGTTTGAATTTAACCGTGTTTGCTTTGGTTTAAAGTCGAGCCCGTTTCATGCGTTACGCACGGTGAGACAGCTCGCCCACGATGAAGGTCCCTCTTATCCTAAAGCTAAGAGGGCAATTGAAAGTGGATTATATATGGATGATTTTGTGTACTCGGTCGATAGCGTGCAGGAGGCCACCCTAACCACCGCCGAGGTTATAAAACTCATGAAATCGGGTCAATTTGATCTTGTCAAGCGGACTAGTAATTCGGGTCCGGTTTTAGACACAATCCCACTATCACACCGTCTTTCGGCGATAAAGGAATTCGACGATTCTGATACGCACAGAGGTGCTCGGTCTGTGTTGGTCACCAGAGTCCGACGTGTTTAGCCTTTAAGGTAAACCCGCCCGTAGAGAAGTGCACAAAGCGCACAATACTGTCATGCGGGTATTACGGGGGCGTTGTATATTTCCACGTCCAGAATAATGGTAGAAATTCGATTAGCCTCATTAGCTCTAAGTCAAGAGTCTCCCCCCGTAAGGTTGTCTCTCTGGCGCGCTTAGAGCTTTGCGCAATATTAGTCCTCACTAAACTTATTACCGCAGTTATAAGCGCATGTAGGGACAGAGTTCACATAGAAAGGATATTTGCCTTTTCCGACTCCACCGTCGCTTTATGTTGGGTTCATTCATCACCCCATCGTTGGGATACGTTTGTCGCGAACCGAGTAGCCAAGATCCAAGATGAGTTAGGAACGCGGAACTTTTATCACGTGTCCGGTACGGAAAACCCTGCAGATTGTCTATCCCGTGGACTTACCCCGATGCAAATAATGGACCATCCGCTTTGGTTCTACGGACCTTCTTGGGTTCAATTGGAACCCTCGCAATGGCCAATGACCGATTTCGACCCTTCGTCAGTGTCACAACCGTCAGAAGAGAAGAGGCAAGCTCTGGTAGCGAGCGTTTCGAGCGAGGTTTCTCCAATCATTGCTTTGGCGAACTGCTTGAATCAATAAGAAAAAAAATTTCATTTGATTCCGCTAGTAACGATATCGCTTAGGCGATTACACATGTTTTTTTTATATAAGAGGTGGCAAACGAGCATACGACTCACCAAATGATAAGTGACAACTTCAACACGAGGAAAATTGCATATATGTTACTGGCCTTTAAAAAAGAATAGGCTCTTTTCTTGGAGGTCCCTAAGTCGTATGGAGGCGTCTTATCCCCTTTAATTTTTGCAGATTTTTTAAACTCAATATTCATTAAATTAAATTATTTCCACAACCTTAAGTTTCAAAGTATAGCATTCAATATCAATAAAATTGTAATAAGAATATTGCAACAAAATCTAACCATTAATTTATTTTTTATTGCAGTGTACAAAATATGCACAGAATATATAAGCAAAAGATAAATGCTATGGGTGGACAAAATCTCTTCCAGACAACCAATGTATGGGCAGTATTACAAGAAGAATAAAAGCGGTAGGGTAAATCGGTAATATAAGACAAAGAAAAACATAATAAAGCTTTGTTGCAGCTATATTAATAGTATACTTTTACCACGAAATGGTCGGCTCGATCGGGGGGAAGACCACACTCTGAAAGAATAGCAGCTTAAAATAGCAGTTCAACGCTGCTATGTTTCGTATGGTGAATGTACAGAAATGGAGACCCTTTCTAATGGAAAAAAGAAGGTGGACTATGTGCTAGGTCGTGACTTATATCTTATAAAAAATAACACA